CTTATTTCGCCTGTCATTGCTCCAGTTTGTCAGATTTCACACCCATTCGTCGCTCTGTGGTTGACACTCTGTCATTTAGTTTTGCTAATGTAGGCTATAAATACACAGGTACTCCAAAGATTACAAGGTTCCTTTTTTACTTATTTATACCCAATCTGTCACAATGTAAACCACCGATCATGTGCTTTTTTGTTGTTTTTTGTTCTGTTACCTCCTGTGATCTCTCCCCACTGCTCGAATAAACTGTGGAAAGAAAAGCAACAACCTGAGAGCGGAGATAAAATGGGTCTGTGATAACAAAACAACAACAAAAAGATTAAAATTCACTCATTCAAAAAAGCCATGTTTAGTTTCTGCTCCCTGATTACTCTTTGAATAAACTAAATCCCTGTTGCAAACACTGCAACAAAGGTGTGACATTAAGTTTTATGTAAATTAGGAGTCGCTCCAAACACCGCCAACTCTGCGATATCCCTGTCGGTTAATTTCAATTTGAAATGTGTGTTCATTCCTTTCTGCCTGTCTTTGTTTGATATATGCTGTCACAGCGTTGACGTGTTCCTCTTTGCAAGTTTAGGTTCCTTTCAGTAATGAAGCTGCACTTTGGGAGGACAGGCTCTGTTGAGCTCTGCTGGGTTGTTGTTCATTGGGTGAAAACACTCACATTGAGTGGCAGCTTTCGCTAATGCACTTTTATTGAAAATGATGATTCTATGTGAGTTATAGGAAAAGGCAACCATGCATTTTTGCCCTGAACTTCCTCTCCACCAGCCGCCTCTCCTCCAAGTGGGAGCAGCCAACTGCGGGAGGCTCCTGGTAACCACATGCTATCACAGCTCGGCCTTCCAGCCTCCAACCGCGACACGCTTACACTCATCCACTCCACAGGGGAAGTGTTGAGCCTCGCTCGCCGACGTGAGAGCACAAACACAGAAACATTCACCCTCCACCAGATAGACAGCGCTGCTTATACCCCCTCCCTCCTCTCCACCAGCTTCACATTTCTCTCTCTCTCTGCTCCTCCCATTACTATTTGCTACTCGTGTAGTTTGTCTCCTCCTCTGAAAGAGCAGTTTTCCCTGAAGCATCGTCCGGGTCCCTGTCATTTAATTTTTTTTACTGCTGTTTATTTGACTGCGTATCGTCCTCCTCCCCCTTCTCTGCCCCACCCTCCGTCAATATTAGTCTTTGTTCATCTGCATCTCTAATTCTTTCACTGCTCTTCATTTCTTACAGTGTCAGTGCAGTTATTGTTTTTCTCAAACACTGTGCAGTAAAAATAAAAAAAGTCTGACTAGAAGTCACCCTTAGCTTCTCCCAATTGCTAATTAAGGCACAGAGAAGCAAAGGTAACGTTAGACTGTAACGCTCTGAAAGGGGAAGACATTCTGCGTCTTACAAATGAAAGGTAGATTTCATAAGTAATAAACCTACTGAACCCATTGAGTTCTGCTGTTCCAGCCTTATTTGATCTGCCGTGACCAGAAGCTTATTTAGAACATTTTAATGAGTCGGCTCATTACCAAAAGGAAAGACTTTTCAATACCTGTGCTCGTGCTAGCATTATCATTATAGGTTCAGGCTGGAGCTGATAGTCAGAAGTTTAACGTTAGCGATGGAATGACTGATGTGAAAGCAGCTAAGACAAACGCAGACAACTTTCCTGAGCTCAGTATCCTTTTTTCAACCTTTTAATGGCCTGCATCTTTATTGTATCCTCAGCAGAGCACTCTACACAACTGTGCCTTTTTTATCTGCCTACCACCCAACAGCAGGGGATATAAACTAGTGACTAGCTTATTAACATAGTCTGCAACTGCCTGCTGACCAACAGGCAGCTGGGGACAAATATGCACTGCGAGAATGAGTGCTGTGAAATCAACAGCTGAAGGCTCAGTGACACATGCCTATAGACCTGTCAGTGACTCCCTGTTAACTGCCAACTGGTTGGGGAGTGTTTGCTGGAGTTTCCAACCAATTATTCACTTGCTGACAGCCAGCAACCTCTGGCTAACCAGTCAAGGAAATACACATTTTTCAATTAAATTTTATTAATATAGCACCAAATCACAAAAACAGTTGCCTCAAGTTGCTTTATACTGTAAAAATATATACCCAAAAATAAATAAATAAAAATGAGACAACCTCCTATTAGGAGCACTTGGCGACAGTGGGAAGGGAAAACTCCCTTTTAACACGAAGAAACATCAGGCAGAACCAGGCTCAGGGAGGAAGACAGGACAAAATACACGCAAAACAACCAGATCTCGACGTATATCGTGATATATCAAGATCTGGATATTTAAATCCAGTTCTTTAAACAAGTTTATGCATATAAAGCACACTGTTTAACAGTCCAATACCAAACTAGTTAGCAATTTAATGTGAAGGCCCTGCATCATCATCCCCTCAGCTGGGATACTATGAAAACAACAGAGGAGCTCTATGGGACAAAGCATCTTTTTCAGAACTGATATTTTTATATTATATAATTTTTTATATTTTCAAAAAAAATAGCAGCACATACTGGACAACATACCGATGTTCTTGTGACTGGTCAACTGACAAATGTGCCAATGAGGATCCAGCTGGTTTGCAACAGCACAGAGATAAGAGTGCAAAAACAGAACTTACATATATGCAGTGGGCAGAAAACAAGTATCTGAGGTTTCTTAATGCTTCTCATACCTTTGAACCACAAAAGAAGAGTATTTATTTTCTTGCAGGATTATGTAAAAACTGATTTAAGAAAGATGTACAGTAATGAATGGGAGATTAAATTCATCAAATGAATCGATTAAATGCATCTATTCTAAAGAAGAAATGATCGCACAGACTTGTGTTTGGAAGTAAAACAGTATCGTGTCAGAGCTTTGAGTTGTATCAGAAAGTGCACACCTGAACACACAAACTGTATTCACTGTAGTCTCACAAACACCTTTGTTTGTGCAAAATCTGTAGGCTAGAGGCTGACGGTGAAGCGTCAGTATCGTGACTGAATAGACTGGAATAAGTGCGGACACGAGGGAGCTGGATGTGACTGTCGCACGCCGACTCAACGCCAAGGCCCTTTTTTCCACTCTCGGCCCCGAGGGTATAACTGGCCTCCCTTCAAAGGAGGAAGCTTAAAAACAATCTCCAAAAGAGTGAAAGCGGTGCTGGGTTGTGGTGGGCGTCAGTCAACCAGTCAGTCACCAGTCAGTCAGTCAGGCAAGAGCCCCGCTGTCTCCCACTCCAGAGAACAAGGTACCTTGAACTAGTTTCTACAAAGCTGAGTCGGAGATTTAATGCAATATAAAGCCTCTGGGTCCTTTTAGCAATTTGGAGTCAACACACAAATACGCCCACACTCAACTGGAAAGACTTTCCATCCCTGCCCCTTCATGTGCAAATGTGCTGAATGGAGGTGTGTAAGTATGTGCTAGCAAGTGTGTCTGTGTGTGCTCTGTGTGTGCTCAGCTTCCCTACTGAATCCTTCCCACTACTCCCTCCTTCCCTTTTCTGATCTGCTGCAGCACATCATTGGCTGTTCGGCTATAAAAAAAAAATCAGTACAGAAACACACAGTGCTAGCTTTTTTCCCTTTTTTTTAATAACTGTCCATTTAAACCGCAATCTTCCAATGTGTTTCCCACCCACGCTGTGTGGGGTGAAGCACGCAAGTAATTTACCACATGATGATCATTCAGCAAAGTGAGGAGTTGTTAATACCCTGCAGATTGTCAAATCTGTTCCTTTGTGAGAACAGGTTTTATCTGTGGAAAAGTTCTTGATGACACCCAATCACATGATCACCATATGGCGATGCTGCAATATAAAGTTTTTCTCCAGATGCCGGTAATAAAATGTTGACTCCTGCAGTAACAGACAGAGGGCTGCTCTTGACACTGTCTGGGTGATTGGCAGTATTTCCAGCTGCTGCCAGACTTGGGAGCCTGTGAAGGCTGAATGTTGTTATGCTGACATCAGCTTTGGCATCTGTTGCATATTTGAAGTAAGGGAACAGATTAAAATCCTTAAACACTGTGTTGTTTCCTGGACATTGTAGGGACACACAGTGGATTATCCATCCATCCTATCTTATCCAGTTGGAGTCTTTCCAGGTGTGATGGGGCGAGAGGTGGACAAATCATGTTTTTGGTCTTTGGACAGGGAAACTCTGCCCCAGCAGGTGGATTCGAACCCATGATCTTGCTATGAGCTGATGGTGCTAGCTATTGTAACACCATGCCAACCACTAATGTTTTGATATTCTCTTTTTATGGCCAGTTTAGCTGATCATTTAATTTGCCTTTTTGAGGCTAAGGAGAATACAATAATTTTACTGTGAGCTGTCAGATTGAGCTGTATTAACATAATGTGTTTAGTTCCACTCTGAATGCAGAGTGTGTATATATGTGTGTGTGTGTGTTACATATTTTACTGGCTTTGAGAAGTTCTGGCAGAAATGTCCTTTGTCTGACTTGTTTTGCACCTTCAATAAAATTGACAGCTATTCTGAAAACTGAAGCTGAAAGCAAATAGTTTGATTCGCCATCAACCAGTGTCTGCAGATGGGAGCCGACGCCGGACAAATAAAAAGCAACAGTCCCTGGGCTACAGAGCCTGAGGCTATTGCATTGCTAGCAGGCAAACAGCCACCTAGCTGCCCCAGCAGGGTAGGAATATATCAGGCAGCCTATTGGATACCTGACAGCTGATTTAGCTCCCCCTTAATGAGCAGAGGGCTCCGCTGCAGAAACTCCACAATCTGTTACATAACAACATCACAGACAGCACACCCTGTACAGACCGCTAAGGACGGTGGACTCCCTTGAAAACGAGCCGTGCTACGTTCAGTAAAAAATAAATCCTACGATAATAAATGAAAATGTAAAGATGTGTGGCTAATGTAATAAATGCAGTTGGAGAATATACTCCTGTGTGTTCAAGAAATGAGTTTTCAAGTGAGCCAGTTAGGAGGAAAAAAAACACAGCGTTGCCACTATTTTTATTGGCAAGGTTTTTTATTATGTTTTATGATTATGTCAGTCTTCAGTTAAAAAAAATACTGAAATGCACACTGCTTGGAGGATATGGCTGACTTCAGTTCATTGTTCATACTGATTAGAAACTGTAGCCAATAATTATTTAAATCACCTCTTAATACTTTCTTAAATACTGACCTCCACTGTCGTCGGAGGCAACGCTAATCTGTAAAAACAGTTTTGTACTCACTGAACTTGCTAGTAGTGGACTGGACCCCTTTTGTTCTTATGTTTTTGTGGTTAGAAACATTCCAGCATTGTAAAAATAGATGGTTGCCAAACGGTTGCTTGCTGTCGCTAGGCAAAAATGGCAACAAAGTGGTATACGGTGCTGCAACTAAAACCACCTCACAATTTATTGGGTTGCTGTGCTCGCTAGTAGCATGGAAGATACCGACTTGGTTGCAAACACACAACTATTTGCTAGTTGGTACTGACACTATGAAATGTGCAACACAAAGTGGAAATGGAGACTGTTTGCCCTTATGTCAAAGTTGAAATGTGCTGGTTTCGGCAGAAAGGCACAACTTTTACTTTGAAAGCGAAGAGTTTCCATTTTTAGTTTGTGCATCCAAAGATACGTACACGGGTATTTTTGTAAACTGAGATTTTCTGTTTTCGTTTACATGTAAAAATAAAAAACGAAGTCAAAAGCTGTCAAGGACATAATAAAGCAACAGGGGGTGGTATAATCCTAACTGTGTAGAAATGTTGGCCAATCAGAAGTCTAGAAGAGGAAACAAAGATGGCGCAAAGAAGCAGTCTTTCTAAATGGAGGGGCAGTAACTGTGTGTGTATATGTAAGAGTGTAAAAACTGCAGATAGTAAGATTAACAGCAACAGTGTTTTGTTCAAATCCGCCAATGTAGAAATTCATCTCATGTACGCACAGCGTCATCATAAAAGGCGCACACCTTTGACGTAGCGCGACTAAATCTCTGGTTTCCTCGTCCACAAGTAAACGCAAAAAACAAGTTTTCTAAAATCTCAATCCTGGCAGGAATTTATAAAAATCTCGGCCTTCAGTGATCGAAAACGCCGTTTACGTGTGGACAAAAGGCCCAAATGCATAGAAACAGCTATGTTTTCAAAAATACTTGCATACATGTGGACGTAGCCCAAGTTTCACTACCGCTTGGCAAGTAGTTGGTGAGTGTTTGTAAACAAGTTGGTGTCCACCAAAGCAAATGTGGAATACACAATCTTCTATAAGTGATCAGTGGTTGCTCAGAGGTTGCCAACCAGTCTCTAGGCCTGTGTGACTGAAGCCTATAAGAGCTGGGTATTGTTGGTTTCAGGAGTAGTAAGATACATTTATTGGGAACTGTTTTCAGCTGTGGAACAACACACATTTGGTACTGAATTGTTACAGTGAAGGGACTATAAATTATAAAGTACATGTTTACTGCAATGAGGAAAAATGTCAACCAGAGCGACAACTCTTTTGTTTTTTTGTTTTGTAGTTTTCATAGAATCATTTAGCTTTATGCTAAACTGCACCAGGAAACGGCTGAACATGCAGCTCCTTCTGGGAAGATCATCTGATTTATTTATAAGATTAATTTGCTCAACATAAGAAACATACAACATATCCTCGATGGAAGGCTATTTTTATAAGGCAGTCATTATAATGAAGAGCAAGGACACAGTCCTTTTATTTGTGCATATTACTGAGCAGTTATTTAAAATAGCAATTACATTAGCAGAAATGTGTTTAGACCCTACAATAGATTGGGTTTCACTTTCTCCCATTATTTACACAGTAATATTGCTTATTGCTGAGCAGTGAGTGCAAACACTTACAGGGAATACACAGTAATGTTGAACACGTTGCGTTAACTAAATCATTCAGTAAATGCTCTATTTAGATATTAAAGTGTAACAGCAAGAAAGCAGCACTGTAACAATCAATGGAAACTAAAGTGGCTACTGAAAACCAGACTCTGACCTTAGCCAGACTGCCTTGGAAGTATATATGTTCTGACAACACAGATGTCAGAGGGGACCCTCAGGACCCCAGCCTGTCACCGCGGGCCAGCAGAAGAGAGGAAGGGGTCCAAGTTATTCTGGGCTGGGCCAGTAAGGGAATGGGTCACAGTTCACTGTGTATACCCTGCTGCTTTAGCACCGGCTGACAGGCCACAGGAGTCTGGAAGTCCATGATGTACTGGCATTTGCTGGGCTCTTTCACTGATCGCAAGGCTGTCTCCGTTCCGCATGTCAGTGTGACCTAGAAAAGCACAAAGAAAGAGAAGTTGAGGTTGAGAAGAGCCATTGTTAGCCTGAGTCCAGAGCCGTGGCAGTTTGATCACACAAAGGGAGCTGATTAAAGTTGACCTGCCACTTGTTTTACAACCTCTCTTAAAGTTTTGCGAAGAAGTGGGGCTTGCTACAAATGACAAAATTATACAGAAGGAACCGCTGACTTGTTGTGACTTTGCGTGAAGCAAAGTGTTTCTGTGAGTAAGAGAGAGTGTGGATTTATGGGACACCGCCGCTGTCGTCCCCGCGAGCGAACAGGACAGGGGGAGGATGGGATTACTGCTGTCACGACTTTAATAGGTGACTTTGACGCCCCCTGCAAGAGAGCGGAGGGGAAAACAACTTCTTTTACTTGGGAGTGGTTTCCATGGCAACCCCTCTCATCATTCAGCACCCTGAACAGACAATCCCTTTGGCGAACAAAAGCACCTGAAGAGGCAGAGATGGGAACCTGGCAGGTATTGTTGTGCAGAAGTTTAGGCTAGTAGAAGTGGTGATTTGGCTTTGTCCCGTAGGGAGACTAAAATAGTCTTTTGTTATGTCACTTAGTATCTTGTTGCACTGAGATATTAAGTGGGTGTGCGCTGCTTGATGAGACAAAGTATTTTCTGTCACGCTTGTCCATGAGTATTAGCGGTCTAGTTTTAATTTGAAGGTGAAGGAGCGATAGCTCAGTCTTGGTGGTGATTTATCCTTTGACACACTACATGTAATAATGTAAGACAGCAGTAGTAGAAAACACATCTTACGAGGAAGTGTGGAAGAATTGGTTGATTAACAGGCAGTTATGCAGCACTGTGGGAAATCCAGATCCATGGATTTTAGACTTTGGCCCATAAAAGGGACCAAAGGGCAAGACAGATTCTGCATTAATTTTCTGGAAGCCCCTAAACCTTAAATTTTACAGTGACGCCACAACACGTGATTAGTCACCAGGGCAGCTATAGCTCAGGACGTAGGTCATTAATCAAATGAAGGTTTGGTGGTTCGATCCCTCGCTGCTCCAGTCTGCATACCGCTGTATTCTTCATCATATGCTATGACTTGTTTTGGTCAGCTAGTTCTCCTCTGTGGGGATATGACCCTTGAAAGTTTTACAGTTTTCTTCACTGAAAACTTTCCTCGGTGAATGTAAAGCTTACAGTTAGGGCCAGAACAGGTGACCCTGAACTATCCCTATGCTATGCTGCAGGTAGGCTGGTGGGGGCTGCTGATCATGCACTGAGCATTTCTTCTTCACTCCCCATATATTTTTACATCACTGCTGCATCTCATTAAATGCTTTCTCTCTACCACAGCTTGTGTTTTGCCCAGTCTCCCTGTGCTGTGACCCCTCAATTGAATGGGTTGCAGTTTCTAACGGAGATTAAATGTGTTATTCAGCCCTGAAAATGTCAGCGCTGTACTTACGAGTGCTCAAAAATGCTGAGAAAAATAAGTCAAATAAAAGCACTAAAATTTCAAACCATGCTTAAGTACATGCAGGGCCTGTAATCTGAAAAAGCTTCATAGTATGAAAGTTAAATTTTGCATACTCACATTAAATATACTAAAAATATTATTCTGGAGGAAAAACACCCTCTGTACTTTTCCTTTTTGATAAAACTCATAGTTAGAGCTGGATCAGGTGACCCTGAATCCTTGCTGTAGTTTTGCTGCAATAAGCCTGGACTGCTAGGAGCTTCCCATGATGCACTGGTTCTTCTTCAGTCACCACTCTGGATTTAATCATTAGTGTTTATTAATCTCTGGCTTTCTCCTACAGTGTGTCTTTTGTCCTGGCTCCCTCTTCTCCTCCCCAACCCTCCCTGACCCTGGTTCTGCCAGAGGTCACGGGGGTCATGTGATTGTCAGGGTTTTTGTCTGTATTATTGTAGGGTCTTTGCCTTATAATATAAATCGCCTTGAGGTGACTGCTGTTGTGTTCTTGTTGGCTTAGGTTTTCTCTTCAAACTCTTAAAACAAGTGGTTTGGTCACCTGTTCAGAGGTTTTTTTTACCCATGTATTTAGCAACGCTAACCCACACTCAGAATTCAGCAGTTCATTCTGTGACTACAATACTGTCAAAATCACAGTCAGTGCCGCAAAAAGCAGATCGCAAATGTAATAATCTGGAGTTATCCACGAATGAGTCAATGAGAGGAGCTGGTTTAGATCCGGCTGTGGTAGCTGTAGCTCGTGCTTAATGACCACAGACACAGAATTAATAACTGAAAGAGTTGAGTTCACCTTTCCCCACAGACACACAAGATTAACTGTGCACCACTTGAATTTGGATTACCCCAATATCCACCAGCAAAACAATACATCACTGGTGCCTCTTCTCCAGCATACAAGATGGTACGCTGCAATGAAAGAGTGTGCTACCCAAAGCTGAGGTTCAGCCTTTCAAATATAATGAGCGTCTACTTCTGACAAGACTTTATTTATGCCGTCTGCACAGAGTTAGGGGTCGTATCAAAGGACTTCAATTTAGTGTTTTCAAAGGGGGGCCTGGATGGCATGAGTACATGCATTTGTAAATGACATTTATTGGTCTGATTTGAAGAGGGGGGCCAGGCACAGAAAATCAGATGATTAAATGTCCTTTATTTTTAACTGAGCAAATTTCTCACACACAAATGCAAACGGATATCATAAAGACTGGCGGAGAGAGGGCGTGATGCTGGGAATATGTAGAAGAGGAGAATGCTGCAGAAGAATGCAAACAGAGCAACAACATTAACCATGAAAACCAGTGCAGACTGACAAAGAGTGTGCGTGTCGGGGGGGTAAGTCACTTTCAATCACTTGGCTCTGGACATAACATATTTTTGCCAGGCTGCTGAGCACGCCATGAGGACTGATTGACTCGATCCTGATTGTTGAAATGCTCGTGCCCGGGATGAGGCAGACCGGGACACAGATCTCATTTTATTTCCTGGTTAACAGAAGGAGCTCAGTTTGCCTGTTTCCTTTAGTTTTCTCTTAGTGCAGTGTCCATTTACCCCGCTCTGACTTGGCGTCGAGTAAAGTGTTCATCTTGTTGCTTTCCCTAGAACTACAATAAGATTTGCAGCCTTGCCTGCATGTGCAGGGTGGTAGCTCTGCTCCTGGTACCCTGCTTATAAAATGAGAGGAAACATTAGTGTAATTACTAAATTATTCTCCAACTGAATTCAAATAAAATAGGCTCTCTATCCCATCTTTTATTTTGGGTGGAGTTATAATGAGTTGTGCACAGCCTTCATCCTTCCATCTGCTTGTCTGACAGTCTGTCAGTGTGTGCATATACCATTTGTTCATTTGAATATCTGTTATTCATGTCTGCCTCTTGGTGCTCTCATTACTGTAAGAGGGTTTGGGCTGTAAAGGATGATTAAAGATATATACAGTTTGTTGTGCTTACTGTAGTACTGC